GTGCTGTAAATTGCTCTAGTGTTAGTTATCCCGTGGAAGCCTCTGGCTACCTGGGAGGTGAATACTCTTCCTTTTTTCATGTGTCAGAGGACTGAGTAGGCTGTAGGCAGCACAGCACACCTGTTTTTGGCCAGAGCTTTCTGTGTACCTTTCCTTTTCCCACAGCCTGAAGCATGGAGCCTTCTGCTTGGAAAAGTGGCCACACCTCTTCTCGTTTAGCTCTCTTATCAGTTTTGCTAAGGTTATTGCAGGCAACACTGTCTTTGCTGGCTGGCTGTGTGTTTCTGTCTGTTCGTTCTTCCCAGCGTCCCTAATGCTATGTTTCTGGAAAATACAAGAGGGTCAGCAGGCTAAACAGAGTAGTCAACCTGGGGGCCCAGGTGTAGAAATGAACATGACAGGTAGACTTGGGGCTGCAGAGGTGTAGGCAGTGCCTGGGGTAGTCAAAGAGTCTGGGGTGCAAACCAGGACTGAGTTATTGCTACCCCCAATGCTTGGGGGAAATGTTGACCAAATTACTAGAGGCTTAGCTTTCACCTCAGAAAAATGAGGGCATTTGGCATTGTGCAAACCCTCAAGATCCCTCCAGCTCTGGAATTCTGTAATTTTAAGTTGCTCTACAGAATATCTCTTCTGCGTCTTCTGGGGTTGCAGAGTGGGGAGGTCATTTTGGCCCAGTTTGGGGTGTTTTACCATTACTGACTTAATAAATGAATGCAAATGCCTGTATTATATATAGTATGTGTCACCTTTGATGGGCAGACTCAAACAGTGAGTGCTGTGGGTGGCAGGTTCCTGGGAAAACATCCCATGTATTCTTTGCCATCCCAGCACACTGGTGTTAGACTGGGGGCAAGCCTGCAGCTTGGTGGTTGCCTCTAGAATGGACTCAGTGTGAGTCATGCAGGTGAGAGCTGTTGCATGCAAAGTGCTTCCTGTTTTTTCCTAAAAGCAGCAATAATTGTTATTATTTCTTTTCTTCTCTCTCTCTCTCTCTCTCTCTCTCTCTCTCTCTCTCTCTCTCTTTGTTTGGACATGCTCTCATGCTCAGGCTGGCCTTAAACTTAACATGTAGCTAAGAATCACTTTAAACTTCTAATCCTTCTGCCTCTGTCTCTAAAATTCTGGGACCAAAGGTGTGTGCCAGCATGTCTAGATAATGCTGTCCATAGAAGGAACTATAATTGTGTTTTGATTTTGGTACTGGTGGGATTTTGCTTTTTCTGTTTTAGAATTTGTTTTATTATTATTATTATTATGTGTATGATGTGTGTGAGTGTATGTGACACAGCATGTGCAGAGATCAGTGGACAACTTTGTGGAATCATTTCTCTCCACCTTTTTTGGGGGGATAGGTTGAGACAGGGTTTCTTTGTTATGAAGCTATTTCTTAATTTGGGCCCAAATATGTAAGCAGCTTGTGAGGACTGCTTTTAAAACACCAATGAGCACTTTTTTGTTTTGTTTTGTTTTGTGACAGTCTTTTCTACATAGCCCTAGCTATCTTGGAAAGCACTATGTAGGTCATCAATCTGGCCTTGAACTCACAGAGATCCACCTACCTCTGCCCGAGTGCTGGAATTAAAGGAATGCACCACCTAGCTATAGGTGGGGTTTTTTTTAAGATCAATTTTTTTAGATCAATTACTTAATTTAGTAATTGATCTAGTGGCATGTGCTCAAGGTTAGGGTTTGTGTCTTCTGTAAATTGTTCTGAAGTGTGTTTGGAAGCCAGGGGAAGGCTGTCAGGTGTCACTCATTGCCTTATTCCTTATAAGACAAGATCTCATTGAACCATCAATTTCAGTTCAGGGATCTTCCAGGCTCTGCCCCCAGCAAAGGTATAGGTGCCCATATAGGTACACATACAGTTTTTAAGTGGGTGCTGGGGATTCAAACTTAGGTCCTAGTTCTTGTGCAACAAGTAATTTTACCTACGGAGCCATCCCCCACCAGCCTCATTGTCTTTGTTTTAGGGTCTCACTTTGTAGCCCAGGCTGACCTGGAATTCACTATATGGACCAGGGTACCCTTAAACTTTTGGTATCTTTCTTCTACTTAAGCCTTCTGGTTGTTGGAATTGCAGGCATGAGCAACCATGCTTGGCTGTCTTTGTTGGGGGAGGGGGATGGGGAAGGGGAGGGTTGTTGAGGCAATCTCATGCTATATACCCAGGCTGGCCTTTTACTCACAGGGATTCATCTGCTCAGTCTCCTGAATTCTCTGATCACAGGTGTGCTGGCTACCTTTGTTCTCTTAATTGGAGAAAACAATTCATCCTTAAGCTCCCTGATTAGTGGCTGAAGAAGTGATTTTTTTTGTGACAGTTGTAGGATGGCACCGGAGAGTAGTGTAGAGTTGGAAGCTTGCTGGTGTGCTCAGGTAGCTTCTGGTAGCCTGTAGGCATCTTGACAAGAGCCTTTCAGATTCTATGCTCCCTTGAAGTCTTTGCAGTGGTCTAACCAGTGACATGGGTGGTGGAACCCCACAGACAGTTGGGAACTGAGCTTTGGGTTTTTCTGTCACATCTCGGTGCTGTTTGGGGTGTTTGTAGTTCTGAGTATAAGTCTATTCCTTGTAGTTCTGCATACTCCATCTTTTTAAAGCAGGTAGATGGAAGCCTGCTGATCCATCTCAACTGAGATAGATCTGTCACCCAGATTCCAGCTGGTTCATTTGTGCTACTGGGTATATTAGACACATTATTATTACCAGTGATTTCTGCCATAGCACCATGTTCCTCCCTGTCTACTAAGGTCCACATGGGAACCATATGGTGTGAGAAGATGACAGACTGGAAGTCAGGGAACAGAAACCTGGTGAGGTTAACAGGCCAGCATCAGCTGTAGTGTGTGAGGGCTTGGTAGATGGCCACAAGTGCATGTTGTGCAGATGCTTAAGTCTTGGTGTAGTGGGAATATGACTGGCAGAGTCCAGCTTTCTGTTCTCTTTTGCTTTTTTTTTTTTTTTTTTTTTTTTTTTTGAGATAAGATCTTGCTTTGTAGCTCAGGCTGCCCTGGAACTCATTATGTAGATAAGGCTAGCCTTAAACTTGAAGTGATCCTCCTGCCTCTGCCTCCCCAGAGCTAAGATTAAAGGCATGGTCACCATGCTCCATGTTGGCCTTCTTTGAGGACCTCCAGGCCATAGGCTCATATATTTAATGGTTAATCACCAGGGAGCAGTACTGTTTGAAAAAGATTGGGAGGTGTGGCCTTGTTCTCAGAGCCTTCAGAGGACAGCTCAGCTCATTGCTGGCCCAGTAATCTTGTCTTAATGATGCAAGGGATCCTTTTCTTCCGTCACAGTTTGGACTGACTTCACATGAGTTAAAGTTCTGCTCTTGGTTATCCTGATGCTGGGGATGGAACACAGGACATCTTGGATGCTAGGCAAACTCCAGCACTGAGCTGTCACTCTTAATCATGTGAAGGTCTGTCCTCACAGTTACTACTGCTCACTTGTTTAAATGTGATGCCTGCCCCTCCTGCTGGGAGAGAGGAGTGGGTTTTGAATATCTGCTCACCTTTCCTTCAGTGTGAATGATGGAACTGTGCAGCCTGTGGCTGGACATCTTCCTGCAGGACTTTGTGTGTGAGGTGCTGGGACCCAGGGCTTTGAGCCTGCTGGGCTGGGGATTGAAAGTATGTGTTACCATGCATGGCAGAAGTCAAATTTTTCTTTTGTTTGTTTGTTTCTGTTTTTCAAGACATGATTTCTTGGTATAGCCCTGACTGTCTTGGAACTTTCTTTGTAGATCAGGCTGTCTAGAAGCCAAGGTTTTTGTATAGCATAATTTCTGGATGGATGGATGGTGGTGGTGGTAGTGCACACCTTTAATCCCAGCACTCTGGAGGTAGAGGCAGGTGTATCTGTGTGTGTTAAAGGCCAACCTGGTCTACAGAATGAGTTCTAGAACAGGCTCCAAAACTACTCAGAGAAAACCTGTATGGAAACAAACAAACAAGCATAATTTCTGAGGCTCCCACAGACTTGGACTTAACTTAGTTTCTTGTTACAGCACTTGTAATGATCTGTGCGCCCCCCCCCCCGCCCCAGCCCCCCCCTCCCCCGTGTCCCTTATGGCCACTCTCATGATGACTCCAACTTGTTCTTTGTGTGGCAGTATAGGACCCTGGTGGTAGCCAGCCTTTCAGATAAGGGCCACTTACACAGCTTGGGCTGGGCCTGGTTCAGCAAAACTCCACTAGCCATACTGGGTGGCTCATGCAGTGCTCTTGGACCTGAGGGTAGCCATGCTCCTCACCTGGGTGACACTTACTCTCCCAGGAGTCTGGACTGGCTTTACAGGGCTGAGTTGCAGAGGTCAGCACTGCCCAGTGCTTATCAAATTTTCACTTTTATCCCATTTGTTGGTGTGCCAGTGACCAAAGAAATCATGTAACCAAGACCAGAGTCATTGTGTAGGGTGTTCATATCTGGAGGCTTGATGGGAATTGTTGGTGATCCACCATGACGGGTTGGGGTTCCTCTTCACAGTTATCTGAGGATGACCAGTTCCTCTTCTGTAGTCTGTCAACTTTTGGACTTTGGTGAACATTAAATGTTTTTAAAGTTTATAATTTTTTATCAGTGTGTGTCAGTGTGGGAGTATATGCATATAAAGCAGGTGCCTGTGGAGGTCAGAGGCATTCGGTTTGCTGGAGCTGGAGATTCCTCTGTACCAACTGGAGTAGGTGCTGGGATCAAAGTCAGGACCTCTGTAAGAGGCGTATCTGCTCATAACCACTGGGCCATGTCTCCAGCCCTTCTGATGAACATACACTTAGTGCTGTTTATGCCAAGGAATTTAAAAAAAAAAAAAAAATCAAGGCAGTCTAGCTACTACAGAGCTCATTCGTGTAAAATAGTTGTGATTTCTTATTCTAGGCACAAAACATTGTACTGAGACTTTGCTGAGGGTCTTAGATAAAGAGGACAGTAACTGCTTTTAAGAGTCTACTTTGGACCTGATTTTACATTTAGAAAACACTGGTAGGTTTTTATGAAAAAAAAAAAAAAATGGGTTGCTATGATGACTTGGCTTTGAGACTGCAAACTGGTGACGACATGGTCACCTAGGAAACCAAAAGCTGCAGCATCTAAGAGGCCTCCCAAAGGGTTTTGTTGCTGTTGTCTGGAATGTGATTGGCTTAGAGGAGTGGCCATTGAGAAGGGAAAAGAACATCAGAGGTAGAATGGCCTCCGGAAACTTCTAGGCACAGATCAAGCTGGGCAAATCTCCCACTTGGGCCTTGGTTTAAAAACAAAGGGGAGATTTTGAGCACTCTCTGGATTATTATGAGGCTTGGCTCTAATCTTTTGATTGCTAAAAAACAGGAAATGAGGTAATGTCTTTAAGCATGTGGTGTTTATAAAGAACTGTAAATGTCTAAATATGGACAGCTATGCAGTTATCACCGCATGGTTCCTGTGCTGAGTCTAAGTGTCTTTTGCATCCCCTGCTGGTTGCTTCAATCCCTAGAGGTTCAAGCAGTCTAAAAGCCCAGAGGCCCCTCTCCCCGTCCAGTGGGAATCCTTGTGATACTGATGCGAGTGCTGGCGGCAGAGACCTCTCCAGACCACCCAACTCAGGCTGAGACAGAGCCAAGCGAGCAGGAACCAGCCACAGTGGGCCTGTCCAGAGCAGAGTTCTCTCCCGTGAGTGTTTCCTATTTTCTTGGGGAACTGAAATCACTTGTTTTTGTGTTACTTCATTGAGATGTAAGTGCATGATTTTAAACAAAAGCAGTTGAATAGTAGAAAGGATCTAGAGAGTTTTCAAGTTCTTTATATGGTTAACTGTTGAGGCTGTGTCATTTCTAAGGCATGCTGGCTGCCTGTGTCTGTGTGAAGTCAGCCATGAAGTACTGGGTAGAGCTGGCCAAGATGAAGGCAGGAAGGATAACCACTCTGAAGACACAGTTATTTTGATGGCCTTGAGGAGTCTGCTCACGGTAACTTCCAACAGGAAGTGCAGCAGCATCTCTCAGTACTCTATCCTTCTAGGACCCCCACCCCACCCCACTCCGTTCTCTGTTGTGGGGCCCAGCTCAGCTGCTTGGCCCAGAAGTTTGGTTTGCAGATCACTATCCCTCTGGAAAGGACTGAGCTTGGAAGTGTGGCCAGTTCCAGGAATCTGTGTTTTACGGTTGGAAATAGAACACTAAATATGTATTGGCTTATTGGACTCCTGGGGTGAATCCATGGGGCTGTGTGCAGGGACAGGTTATGTGAAATAGAATACTTGCCTTAGAAAATTTCTAACAGATTACAGAAACAAAGACTTGGCCTTGGATGGTGACTGCAGTGAGGTGGGCACCCACACTCTGCTGGCCCTTCTTTCCTTTGGGCAGGTGGCACCCTCTGCCACCTTCACTTGTTTTGGCCATGGACTAGTTTATTAGCACTGAAGAAAGGTCAGGGGCTCTTGGGAACTTTGGAAGTTGTGAGTACCCCCATCCAAGGTAGGGGGTGGCTGTAGGGTCCCATTTCTACAGCCTGAGGTTGCAACTTACAGACACATTGAGCTTTGTCGTTTCTCCTGAAAAATTACATTTGGTGACCTGATTCTAATTGAAGAAGAAAAAGATTAGAATGTGAACAACAGTTTTCAGTCTGGTGAGGGTTGGCAGGGCTGGTATTCCTCCCACTGCTGACCCCTGGGGGAGTGCTACTTCAGGGTGTGCTAATGAGAGGCAGGGCTCATTCTCATTTGTCTCTACATAGCCTAGGTGGGCCTTTAACTTGGGGTTCTTCTGCTTCTGCCCTTCTAACTGATGGGGTCGTAGGTGTTCTCTGCCCATACCTGTAACTCAACAGTTCTGCTTCTCAGAGGGCTGCCCTCCATAGACAGGGTCAGAGTGATTACAAGTTCTGCACATGAGTTGTTCACCATGCTACTAGCATCTTGCATTAGTGAAGGGCTATTGAAGATGGTGTATCCATCAGTATACTGCAATCCCACATGTGTGGCTTACTTTTAATTTTGAATAGTTTCTAATAACACAGGGAACTAAAATTAGGTTATGTACTAGGCTCTCAAGTAACATGAAAAATATCAGTAAAAAGCCTGGTGGTAGATGGGGCAAATGGTATCATAATTCTCAGTGATAGTAGGATGTTGACCTTCATACCAAGTTCTCTGCATATTTCCTTGTTTACTTACAGTGAACATTAGTTCTAGACTCAAGGGCACTGTGTAATGGGGAATGGGAAAATTGTAGATGGTTTTGTCTTCAAGAGACATTTCCTAGGTGAAAGCATACAATGTAGAACTTGCTTAGGAGAGCTGCTCACTCTGCCTACTGTCTGACAGAAGACACTGGAGCACTTGACCAGTGGCAGCAGAGGAACTATTTGCACTTCAGACAGGGTTTCTCTGCAGCTTTGGAGCCTGTCCTGGAACTTGCTCTGTAGATCAGGCTGGCCTGGAACTCACAGAGATCTGCCTGCCTCTGCCTCCTGAGTGCTGGGATTAAGGGTATGCACCACCAATGCCCGGCTTGCGCTTATATTTTCATAGATAGCATTTTTCAGGTACTCATTACACGGAGAGTCAGGACCTTTTATTTCAACCCCATCCTTTACTGTCATCCAGGGTACTTGTGAAGAGTCTTCTGTTAGGTTCTGGTCCTAATGTATTTCTCTTTAGGATTCACAGATGGAGTCAGTGGAAAAGACAACGAATAGAAGTGAACAGAAATCAAGGTAAATAAAGTCAGTTAGGAAATATAGGTACTGAAGGGAACCCAGGGCTGCTCACCATGCAAGAAACACCACAGAAAGTGGCTTTCTGAGCCCCATCTTCAAACCAAGCACCATGGAGGTAGAAGGTGGGAAGGACTCAGAACTGAGTGGCCAGCCTCAGGTTCCACTTACTGGAAAGTGATGCTCAATGATTTGCTGCCCCCTGGAGAATGCAGTGGGTTTTAGATGACAGAAAATCTGCATTTTGTCAGAAAATCTCTCCCTGTCACCACAGCAAGATCATTTTATCCGTACAGTGTTTTCAAGCTACTTGCAGCTTCAAAGGATGAGAGAACCTGAACTTTTTGTTCATAGGTGCTGTCATGTAAATGTGCCTATGACTGTGGGCAACATGTATTTTGTCTTCTGGTAGTGAACGAAAGGGCAAATGTTTGACCCGAACATTCTAGATGTTTGTAGACTAAAAGCATGCAGTACTTCCAAGCTGACTGTTGGCTTCTTCTTCCCTTGTTTTTAAATAGAAAGTTTTTAAAGAGCCTCATTAGGAAGCAACCCCAGGACCTACTCCTGGTCATTGGGACTGGTGTGAGTGCAGCTGTGGCCCCAGGGATCCGCGCGCTCTGCTCTTGGAGAAGCTGCATTGAAGCAGTCATTGAGGCTGCAGAGCAGCTGGAGGTTCTGCACCCTGGGGATGTTGCCGAGTTCCGGAGGAAGGTGATGAAGGACCGGGACCTGCTGGTTGTAGCCCATGATCTGATCCGGAAAATGTCACCTGTGAGTCTCAAACACTTGAGGTTTCATGGGGCTGTCTTTGGGTTCTAGGCCAGGTTGAGGGAGTGAATAGATTGAACACTAGGCCTCTGTGAGCAGAGGTACTCATGTTTTAGTGCTCAGTCTAGCAAGTTTTTTTTTTTTATTATCAAGACAGGGTTTCTCTGTGTAGCTCTGGCTGTCCTAGAACTCGTTCTGTAGACCAGGCTGGCCTTGAATTTAGAGATCTGCCTGCCTCTGTCTCCTGAGTGCGTGGTTTAAAGGTGTGTACCACCATGCCTAGCAGGATGTCACCCTTTTAAACCTGGACTGCCTACAGATGCTGGATCAGCTGGCTGGCTCTCAATTTTGTCATGCTGCGTTTTGGGTGTGAGATTTGTGATACACTGTGAATATTGTGTTGGTTAGTTGTATTTCTCCAGATAACAGTGGGTCCTCAGAAGTCATTTCAAGGTGGGAAGTCAGTGCCAGTGACACAGCAGAGCGGTGACATAGCTGGTGATGCAGGGGACAGTTAATGAGAGGCACCACCGGCTCGTAGGTGTCTGGTGCAGTGCTGAGAACAGTGTGTGAAGCTGGAGTGGCTGCTCTCACTGGTCTGTTTTGTAGGAGATGTGCAATCAGCATTCAGAGGAGGCGGAAGAAATGAGATAGGAAGAGAAGAGAACACAAAATGGTCAGCAGGAAGGGCAGGAGAGGTTTGGGGTCAAAAGAGACCCCAAATGGTGTGGTTTTATTGTGATAGTATCTCAGATTCCTACATTGAAACTTGGGGTGGCAGCCCAGGAGTGTGCAAGAGCTTTATGGCATTGGGGACATGGGCCCTACCATCCTCAGCAGGAAGTTCCCTGTCTTTGTACAAAGTTAGCTGCCTGACTCCCCCTGCTCCTTCCAGTGGGCAGTGGACATGGGGCTGTCAACCCCCCACCCTTCCATGGCTTCCCATGGAGTCATTAGAGTAGTGTTTTCACCCTAGTGCTGGGCCTCACCTTCCCAGGCTGTGAATGTTTTCAGTTAGGTGGTGGTTGTGCCAAGTTGTGGGTGTTCAGTTAATCAGCAGGGGCCAGACCAAACCTGACCTGCTAGCCATTTTTATAAAGTTGTGTTGGCATGTGGCCATACCTTCCTGCTGGCACATTGTCTATGGCTGCTTTCACGCTCAGAGGCCAGCTTGAGTAGTTGCATTAGAAACTGGCCACAGGCCTAACAGATTTACTCTCTGGCCTTTGGTAGGCAACGGATGCTGACCCCTTATATAGGAAGATGAAGGCTAAATCTCTGCATAGCTGGGCATCACCGAGTGTGTGTATATCTCATGCAGGGAGAGGCTGTCATGGTGATCATTGTTGGTCAGGAGATGCGTGTGAAGTGCCATCTGTCGCTTCTTACCCTTGTGCACTGTTCTAAACCTCCCAAAGAGTCAGGTGAGGGGTCAGCAGGCCTCTCCTGCTGTGTTGGCAGGTTTGTAAGGAGGGTTCTGGTGCCATGGATAAAGATGAGGGCTAACAGGCACTGCAGGGGAGTGGCTGCAGTAATGTCATCCCCATAGCCTTCTAGGAGGGGCCTAAGGGAAGCTTGCCTGGTGGCTCTGCCTTGTGGGCCCTTGAGAACCCACTGTGAAACTAAGTGCTATGTAGGAAGCCTAGGTTAGGTAGGGCTGCTCTTCTAGGGAGTGTGTGGCCTCCTGACCCTTGTGTATGTACAGCTCAGCCCCATTCCTCTAATTCCCTTCAGCAAAGCTCTGCTGACACCACTTCTGGTTTATGCCCTAAGCTCCCTACCTTCCCTGCCCCACATGGAGAAAGTAGAGATTTTCATATACCTTCTAACCTGGCTCTGGGTCACCTCTCTGACCTCCCTGCTAATCTTTCCCCTCCCTCTCCTAGGCACACACAAGCTCTTCCTGGCCTTGGACCTATTTTCACTGCTTACAACTGCCCTGAGAATTCTCCACCTCTTCAGGTCTCTGCCTGGACTTCGGTTTTTCAGAGAAACCTATACAGGCCCTTGACCTGCCCACTCTCACCCCAGTGGTATCTACACCTCCTGCTCTGCCTTGCTTTTCCTGTAGTGTTTACTGCTGCAGGGTTACATCCTTGCACTTGAGCTGTCTCCTCCTCGAAGGCTGACTTCTTTTTTGTAAGAATGTGCCTCCTACTCATATGCCATGTCTTAGTCATAGTCAAGCTCTGGTGTCCCTAACTTCTTTTTGTTGTCGTTGTTTGGAGACAGGGTCGGTCTCTCTGTGTAGACCTGGCTGGCCGGTAATTCACTATGAAGACCAGGCTGGTCTCAAATTCACAGAGCCTACCTGTCTCTGCCTACTGAGTGCTGGGATTAAAGGCGTGTGCCATCACGCCTAGCTTGTGTTCCTAACTCTTGATCTACCTCTCTGTAGCGCACAGGCGATACCAAGCCCAACTTCTTCCAGGATTGCCTCATGGAGGTCTTTGACAGCTTGGAACAGCACATCCAGAACCCTGTGGTGCTACAGTCCATCCTCAGCCTGATGGACAGAGGCACCATGGTGCTAACTACCAACTATGACAACCTGCTGGAGATCTTTGGTCAGCAGCAGAGCAAGCCCATGGAGTCCCTGGACTTGAAGGACAAAACAAAGGTACAGGTGGGCTAGGTGGGCAGAAGTCAGGGAAGTTGTTGGCATGGGCATGTTGCTGGTGCCTTTGTTGAAAGAAGATGCCACACAGCCATTTTCTCAAGCAGCCTGGGAGTCATGCCCGTCCCCTCTTGTGATGTTTTCTGTTGTCCACTTGTACTTCCTTTTCATGTTTTGTCCTATGCCCTTCGAGCATTGCTCATTTACACTTATTCATTAGCAGTCACCATGGGAATATGGACAATAAAGTAAATATAAAGGAAACAACTACAATCCTCCCAGTGTGGATTTTTATTCGCATAATTGGGATTGCAACATATACAAACATTTCAGTCCTGTTTTTTTTTTTTTCCCCTTTAATATTTATTTTGGAGACAGGGTCTTACTGAATAGCTCAGGCAGATTTAATATGTGGGATATGTGTGCTCTGCTTTCAAGTACTGGGGTTATAGGTGCACAAGAATGTGCCTTGCTGTTTTTGTTTGTTTGTTTTGAGACAGGGTCATGCTATATAGTTGTAGCTGGGCTGCAGCTCACTATATAGACCATGTTGGCTTTGAAGTCATAGTAATCCTCCTGTCTTTGTCTCCCAAGTGCTAGGACTACTGGCATAGTCGATGATGCCCAACTTTATTAAGGTATTTGTTTTACTCACTATTCTATTGCTAAGACACCATGACCAAGGTACTTTGTAGAAGAAAGCATTTATTTGAGGCGTACTTATATATAACCCTCAGAGGGTCAGTCTGACCATCATAGCAGGGAGCATGGCAGCAGGTACATGGGTGTGTCGCTGGAGCAGTAGCTGAGATTTCATGTCTGATCCACTTGTTGGAGGCAGAGAGAGGGAGGGAGGGAAGGAGGGAAAGAAACTCAGCTTGGTGTGGGTTTTTGAAACTTCCCAGCTCACCCCTCGAGGCACATTTCCTCTAACAAGGCCACACCTCCTGATCCTTCCCAGATAGTTCTAACTGGGGACCAAGTATTCAAATAGATGAGTCTGTGAAGACCATTCTCATTCAAACTATATGTGTGTGTGTGTGTATATATATACATATAGATATACATATATATATACGTATATATATATACGTGTGTGTATATATATATATATATATATATACACATGTTTTAAAGAGCAAATGTAGATTTATTAAGAAAACGTGAGGAAGAACTTCTGAGAGCTGGTTCTAAAGGAGAAATGCCAAGAAGTTGTTGACAGTGATTTTGGCCTGGCATGGTGGTGCCTGTAATCCCAGTGCTAGAAGGCCGTTCCGCTCCAGCTCTGTGTGGTAGTCGTTCCCTATCCCTTGCCAGCAGTGGAGTTATTACGAACAAAGCAAGCAGGCATGGTGTGCACGCCTGGAACCTTAGCACTGGGAGACTGAGGCAGGAAGATCACTGTAAATTTGAGCCTTCCCTGAGCTACATAATGAGTTTGAGGCAGGTCTCAAAACAAACAAAAAAAGTTAAGTGTTCCCTGTCTGGGAGGTCAAAACCCTAATTGTTTCCCTTTTATTGCTGAGGTTGAGCCAAGTTTCACTTTATGGGTCATTTTCATTTTTTGTGCCTTTTGTGATATGCTTATATTATGGGTTATTAGGGATTCACATTGCTAGTTGTGCTGTTGGCCACTGAGTTGTGGAACACATTCTCTCTGTTGTAGCCTGTTTTGAATTGGCTGTGGACACAGGCTGGCTGCTGGGGAATCCTGTATTATGACATGGCCCTAGGACGGGTGGGACACAGGCTGTGGCTGAGCATGACAGCACCTTAGGAAATGAATAGTTGCCTATTTGCAGGTGTAAGAATAATGCGGGTTTTAGAGCTCAGGGGTAGAATACTTTAGCATATGTGAAGGAGGACCACAAAACATAAAAATGGAAACAAACCCAACAACAACCCTGCAACAACACAGGGTGATTAACTGCATATAACTGAAGAAGGTCCCTTCCCCAACACAGCCACTACCATTGCTGTAACAGCAGAATTACATTCCACACACTGTCTTTAAAGATTTTGCTACATTCTGGAGCAGGAATAACTGCTCCAGTGTTATTATAACACTGTGTTAAAGGTATAATTATGAGTGGAAACATTTACCTTTTCAGATAGTTTTCTTCTTGTATCTTGTCTGAAGTAACACCAGGCTGTTATTTTGTCTTGGTTTGGTTTTTGATAGGTCCTTCAGTGGGCAAGAGGCCACATCAAGTACGGAGTACTTCATATTCATGGCTTGTACACTGACCCTTGTGGGATGGTACTGGATCCATCGGGCTATAAAGATGTCACTCAAGATCCAGAAGTAATGGTATGCCTGTTTTCAGTAAGCCTTGGGTATTTATCCTGGGGAATTTATGGTGGCGAGCAGTCTGCTGTAGTCTGAGTGTTTTGCAGGCATTCTGGTCGTCTGTTGACCCTCCCTCCACATGGCTGCTGGGAATAGGACCATGTCTCTGTGCCCTGGTATGGTGCCTACACTTTGAGTAGATGCTCCCGGCACACTTTCTGGAGGAGGAAATGTGTGCTTCCTTAGAAAGTACAAACCTCTCTAGGTGCCAGCACTAGCTTGCAGTGATTTTCTTGCCAGAAAGTTGGCAGGAGTTTAGCATGATGCTGGTAGTCTGTGTCTTCCTCTCTGTTTTCCCTGTTCTTCAGTTCTCTGTGTTTACTTAGGTACCTTCTGTCCTGCAGCCCTCATCTTCCTTACATAGCGTTCGGTTCAACTTTCCAAACCTAGTTTTAAAATTAGGGCTAAAAATGGAGCTCTGGTTGAGCTCTTGACAAGCATGTGCATGCCCTTAGTTTCATGCCAGCACATATGGTAGACATACCAGTTAAAACCTCATTTTCTGAGAGCCTTTCTTTACTTTTTAAAATTTTAGGGTTTTTTTTTTTTTTTTTTTTTTTTTTTTAAACAGGGTGTCTCTTCAGAGTCCTCGCTATCTTGAACTCAGTATGTAGGCCAGCTGGCCTTGAACTCAGATATCTGCCTGCCTCTGACTCCTCTGAATACTGGGATTTGCTACCACACCCAGCCTTCTTAATTTTTTAAACAAAGATTTTGTGTGTGTGTGTGTGTGTGTGTGTGTGTGTGTGTGTGTGTGTGTGTGTGTGTACATAGTGAGTGCAGGTACCCACAGAGGCCAAAGGCATTGGCTCTCTTGGAGCTGGAGTTGCAGTGGTTAAGCTACCTGCCTTTACTGTGGGAATTGAATGGGGTCCTCTGTAAGAACTTTCATTGCTCATTCTTAACCACAGAGAATCTTTCCAGCCCCACGAGCCTTTTTTTGATGTCCTCACATGCCCAAATGAAGTGTGTGGAAAAGCCCTGTCCTGGAAAATTGCTGCCAGCTCTTCTGTCCTAGCTTCTACCTTCCCCCATTTCTGAGATGAGGTCTCATATAGTCTGTCTGGCTTCAAACTTGCTAAGTATCTTTGAACTCTACATTTTTTTTTTGCCTCTACCTCCCAAGCACTGGGATTACAGGCATGCACCACCCTAGCAGGCTATCTAGAACTCTGATTTAAGTCTGGGTGTTCTTGTAATACTCCTAGGATCAGGTACATGTTCCCCAGAGCTCTTCTCTGGTCTCTGTCACCAGGGATAGTATCAGCAGATGAGTGCTGGGCCATTAAGGGTTGATGCTGCTGAGGCCCTCAGCATGAGAAATTGCTGTCCTGGTATTGGGTCTTCATGTTTGACTCAGTTATACTCTACTGCTCCTTTGACTGACTCTCATAATCTGTGCTTGACTCACTGCCTGTTTCCCTTCACAGCCCTCTTGGCTTTACTCCTCAGAATTCATCTACCCCTACCCCATCCAGGGTATTGTATGTGTATAATTTTGACTCAAGAAAAATTTTTTTGAGATAGGATCTCACTATGTAGCTCCAGCTGTCCTGGTACTTACTGTGTAGATCAGGCTGACCTGAAACACACAGAGATCCATCTGCCTCTGCCTCCCAGTGCTGGGATTAAAGGTGTGTGCCACCACACCCAGAAGAACTGAGAACATTTTAATGTTCTTGTTTCATGTTTTACTAATTGAAGATTGTATGTAAGTATAGGAGTTGACTTGGGTGAGTTGACTTGGCGAGCCATAGGTGTACCATAGGCTGTCCTCACTGTGAGCTGCATTCATGCTGGGCAGGTTGGCCAATATTCAGGCTCTGCTGGTTCTCCTTCTAGTCCTATCTGAGAGGTGGATCTCTGCTTAGCTGTATTCTAATTGCACAGCTCACTGCATGGGGTTGACCTGAGTATGTCAAGAGTTCATAGCCTTTCAGAGCTCCTCAGGGTGGCTCTTGGGAAGCCTGGTGGGTCCATGTAAATGGACACAGAGTTGGCTATGTTAACTGTGGGCTCCTGCTATCTTCACAGAGGTGTGTTCCTTTGTTTATTGGCTTTCCCCAGGAAGTCCTGCAAAACTTGTACCGCACCAAGTCCTTTCTGTTTGTGGGCTGTGGAGAGACCCTGCGTGACCAGATCTTCCAAGCTCTCTTCTTGTACTCAGTGCCAAACAAGGTGGACTTAGAGCACTACATGGTAGTCCTCAAAGAAAACGAAGACCACTTCTTCAAGCACCAAGCAGACATGCTTTTACATGGCATTAAAGTCGTGTCCTATGGGGACTGCTTTGACCTTTTCCCAGGCTATGTGCAAGACCTTGCCACTCAGATCTGCAAACAGCGAAGTCCAGGTGTGGAGTTCTGCCATTACTTTCCAAGCATGATTCATGGCTTCTTCCCCATTTCTTCCTCCTCTCATACTGTAAAACTTTCCAGTTACCAATAATCTAGTTATTTTTTAATGCCTGTAAATTTAAAAGTAGAAAATGGGTGATTCATATAACAGTTTGTAAGTAGAACTTGAGACTTCTGCTCACAAATAGGAGACACACTCATGTTGCAGGCCAGTTTTATTGGTTGTAAGACTTAAACCTTAGTCATGTGAATATCATATACCTTCATCTTGTCACTACATTTTAAATCTAAACCCTGAAAAGCACAAAAGTTTCTGGTGCTTTGATTATTTTTATTTTCTCCTCAGAGCATATCTCTGTGCTGTGTGAGGCATAGCATACATCTCATTTGAGCTCTTTGGTCTTTCTAGGGAGTCTCTGCTCTGCCAGTTTACACCACAGTAATGGGAAATACTGCCCAAGTCACTTTTACATGAGGGAATTAATGGCTTTGACTTCAGTGTCATAAGACATGGATAGCAATTAAGAATAGAAAGTTCTGTATTGACTGGCCTTTCATGGTAACAGGAAACCCAGAGGCTCCCCATGCGGTGGAGTGAGGCTAGCAAGAGACAGCTGCTTATAGCACAGCAGCCATGTGTCTCTGCACAGGTACTTCAGCTGCTAAATTATGAGTAGTGTATAATCAGGGGGCCGTCAGTTTCTTACTGGGAACAGCGAATTCATGGTGTAGAGCAATGTCATCGTAACTACAAATTTTACATTTTTGCCATTATTATTTTGTTTGAGACAGGGTCTCACTATTTTCCTGTGGCTGTCCTGGAACACATAGAGATCTGCTTGCCTCTGCCTCCATATGCTGCGATTAAAGATGTGTGCCACCATGTCCAACTGCTCTTATTTTTTCATATCAGTACCTTTTGCTACTTAGATGATTTTAGAGTTGATACCAGCTGAGGGAGGTATTTGCCCAGTGTGTGCCAGAACTTTGAATCTGGGATTTGATCCTGGACTAACACAGACAAAAATATCTTGATACCTATTGTGTGCATGGATCTTCAGAGACCTCTCTCATCCTGCCCACCTCTGTCCTATCCATCACCTCTTCAGACTCCCCAATCATGACTCCCTAGAGGACAGCACCTAGCCACTAAGCTGTAGTGTATAGTCAGCAGCTGAATTGCCTCCGTCTCCATTGAAGCTCCTTTCCCAGGACCTGGCTGCTGAATGGACTCAGTGAGCTGCTAGAGTAAAAGGTCACTGAGGTTTTCATCTGTGCCTGTCATGAAGGATGTTTGTATTTGTGTTCTCTCCTGATGGGCAAGGATGCCCACTGGCAGTGAAAGTGACATTAGCTGTTATGGTACTGTGTCTCACTCCATACACCTGTCAGCTCCAGAAGCTTCACGTGGTCTGGTCATGCATCCCACCAGGTGAAGAAGGGAGTGACACAGGTAGGGCTCCATGGCTGGCATGTGATACAGTTGGCACAGAAGCCTGGCCCAAGCAGTGGATAGCCTCGGGACAACCTTTGCCATCATTCCAGACCTGAGGAGGAGTCCTCCCAGTCTTGGCTTTGCTGACTGTTTCCTCTCTTCCCAGATGCTGAGCGAGTGGACAGCACCACCTTACTGGGTAAAGCAGATCTTTCCTTTTGCTCATCTGACTTTTGCTTCCATGGTTTACTCGTCACCATAGGTACAATCATGCAAGTGTTCCTTGTAGTCAGTAAATTGCCTTATTAAATAGCACTGAAAGGACAGAGAGCAATGCCTTCAGATGGTCCCCACCACAGTAAAGGCACAAAAGTCCTTCCCTCTTACCGGGAAGCCTAGCCTAGTCTTGGACTGTCTGCCATAATTTCTGCCCTAGAACCAGAGCTAGAAGAAATCAGAGCAATGCTGTTTGCATTATGCCATTCAGTGAAGGACCCAGTAATCTAGGGTGACCTGTCCCTTACTTAAACTTTCATATATATTTTTTTCTTTTAAAACTTGCTTGTAGTGTGAATGCCCTTGCTGGGTTTGGGACTACCAGTTTATAAGCTGAGGAGTCAGCAGCTACCAGCATCTTCAGTGGGAAAATTAGGCAGGAATGTCTACTGCCTGAGTCATTTGGGCTAACGGGTCTAGCCAGTGAGCAGGAGCCTCTGTTCAGCCTGTCATTGCTGCCTGTTGGGCCAGTGTGTCCACACAGAACAGCATGGCAGTGCAGGGACAACTAGTTCCAGTCCATGCCAGTGGTGGAATTGGCTCAGTTCAAGAATGGTAAGAGCTGTCCTCTGCTCTCCAAGGCCATTTGAGAGGGTATTATTGTTTTGCTGTAATTTTCCCCTTTAGTGTGAACCCCAGAATAATAATTTTCCTTTGAAAGCAGCAGTGACTCAGTTGATTAAAAAAATGCAGTACATGGTAGGGAATAAAATCAGATTCAGAAACTGGCTCCTAGAAGTAGATTCTGTAATAGTGTGTTAGCACAGGAAGGACTTGCTGTGCCACTTAGTTCCAGAGCTTTCAGGCCATGGTCACATGGTTCCCTTTCTTCTGTCCTGTGCATGGTAAGGCAGAGCAGAGTACAGAGAAAGGGCCAGGAACAAGACATGTTTCCAGTGACCTGTGTTCTTCTGCCATAGCCCACCTGATAGTCCATTCAGTACAGGCTCAGTGCATATAGTGAGACCATGTGGTAGTTTGAAAAGGATGTCCCCTATAAGTCTTGGGCATTTAAATGGTTGTTTTCCAGTTGGTGGTGCTGTTTTGGGAGGCCTAGGAAATATGGCCTCGCTGGAAGAAGTGTGTCACTGGTAGTGAGTGGGTTTTGAGGCTTCAAAGTCACAGGCCTTTCCAGTTACTCTTGCTCCTCCCTGCTTTCAGTTAGAGATGTGAACTCTTTGCTTCTGCTCCAGTCACCATGCCTGCTTATTGCCATACTTCCTTGCTGTGATGTTTAAGGACCCCAACACTTTAGAATTGTTAGCCCAAAAATAAACCTTTCCTTTTAGAAGTTACCTTAGTCATTATATTTATCACAATAACAGACAAGTGACTAATATTAACAGTCTCAAAAACAGCAAAATCAAGAAAGGTCAAAGCCAGAGTCTATTCTGACATGTGAGGTAACTCTTAGCTATAATCTATAAAAATTAAATAAAACTGTACATGTTTGCAACATACAGTTGGCAGAATAAACATTTCCTATGCCAAAAGGAAGGAACTGGGTAATAAGAAGTAGGGATTAGAGCTGGGCATTGGTGGCGCACACCTTTAGTCCCAGCACTCGGAGGCAGAGGCAGGTGGATCTCTGTGAATTTGAGGCCAGCCTGATCAACAGTCTCCAAAACAATATAGAGGAACCCTGTCTCTAAAAACAGAAACAACAACAAAACAAAAAAACCCCAAAGAAGTAGGGATTAGACCAAAGCAGGACCAAAATCCAGCAGGGCAAGCATTAAATGCAGGTCTGATATGTAGGGCACCATTTAGGTAGCTCTGTTGTATGACCTTGTCAGCCACAGCCCAGATGGCCTCTCCTGGGTTGGCTCTGCTTGTTCCTGGCAGCTTTTCTATAGATATCCCGTATTCCTGCTGTTTGATGCTTACATTACAGCTTTGGTTTCACTCAGCTTCCTACATCTATCCCATCAGTGGTGAGGGAGTATTCCCCCTTTCATATTTGGCCTCTCTGGCTTCCAACAGCCCTAGAGTTCTTGGAGCCTTATCCCTGTGAGCCTGTGATTAATGGCCCTCACTGATTTCTGACCTTCAAGGCATCTTCCCTGATGTCTTGGAACAGTAGCATGGGTCAATGCTTTTTAATGGTGCTAATCTTAATTGGCAGCCACACCTTCCTTGATCATAACTTCAAATGTCCTACTTTTCTGGCTGAACTGTAAGGTTTTCCAATTCTTTTCTGCTTTTTCCTTTTAACTCTCATTGTGAAGCTAGCTAAAAGCAGCTAGTACTATCCGTGCCACAGCTGGAACACTACGAGGCAGTTTTCTTCACTGGCTTATTTAGTCTATCATTTTTAAATTCAGCCTCCCACAAGGTCTCAGAGCATAGACAAAATGTAGACTCAATTAACTAATTAATAATGTTTTCTAGAATGTGAAATGAATGACCTTTAGTCTAATCCCCTAAGGTCCTCATTTTCACCTGATCTTATGGGCAGTCCTTACTGTTTATATTCCTGGCAGCATACTGGGCTTCAGAACACTCAGCATCTCTAAGCTTTCTCTAACATGTTTATTTAAACTTGCAAATCACTCCTGTACACTGGTTCTAAAGGCTTTTGGTGCACATGCTCAGACAGAGCGTGGCCTCACTTGTTAGCACCAGTTCCCTACTGGCCTTTCTGTGACAAAATTCTGGAGAAAAAGCTACTTAAAATAGATACTTGGCTCTCAGGCTTGAGTTCTTGGTCACCTGGCTCTATTGTTTCTGGACCTGTGACAAGAAAGAGACATGGCAGAAGAAAGCTCACCTCTCAGTGTAGCAGAAGGACGGAGAGTAAATGCAAGAGCAAGGGTATGCCCCCAGTTACTGACTTCTTCCAACTAGGCTACCCCCAGCAATGTCATTGATCAAGCCGGACACCTTAGGATCTAATCACTACCCCAACAGTCTAACTTTGGGGATATGTATTGGTGACAAAACCTTTAACCCACTAGATTTGAGGGATACTTCATAATTACACCATAAAAAGTAGGCAAACTGTATTTCCATTTAGGAGCAATTTCTAGGCTATGCAAGGATAACAAGTGAATTCCCAGAGCACCCCCCCATCCATCTGTTACCCTCATGCTGCCCTTTTTTTCCTCCTGAACTATTTTAATGTAAATTTTTTCTTTTTAAAAGGTAATGCATGTCAGGATTGTGCAAAGAGGAAATTGGAAGAAAATGGGATTGAAGTTACAAAAAAAGTCAGACAGTCAGATACTGGTAGGTATTGTTTGTTTTGTAGGGGCCCATCCATAGGTTCTGTAGTTAGTGGTTTGCTAACACCCCTGGTCTGTAGGGAGGAGTGGTGCTTATACCATGCCAGAATCACACAGACCTTTGCAGTGGAGCCTGGCCTTTCACACTACTGACCAGATGACCAGAGGTACTGTTGTTTCCCCCAAATTTTTATTGAATGGAAAGCAAATGATGTAGCATCAGCTCAGTGAGTGTTCAAGAGGAAAAGACATCCATTTTCATACTAAATCAGCAAACAACATTTTGGGAGTATTCCCCCCATCAGCCAGAAGGCCCACATTAATCTATAAAGAAACTACTTCAGATTCTTGCTCTTAAACCTTTATGTAACTCTAATAATTTTCCAGGGGGTTGGAACATTTAGCATATTGATGACATTTAAAGTTAACTCCTCAGTGGGTGTCTGATCAGTATTGTGACAGAGCTTGAGCATTCCTAATGTGAAATCCTCCCAAACTGAAACTTTTTGGTACTCAAATGTTTTGGATTTGGGGAAAGAGTGTTTGGTTAAGAGTGTTTGCTGCTCTTAGAGAAGACCCTGAGTTCAATTCCCAGTACCCAAATGTGACTCATAACCATCATAACTCTAGCTCAAAGGAATTTGCGACCTTCTTTTGGCCTTTGCAGGCACCCCCCCCCCACAGGTTTGTGCACTGAGTGCAGGTTCCTATGGAGGCATCACATTCCTTTGGCATCTTTCTTCACTTGGTTTGTATTTTTAGTCATCAAGAACATCTATAACTAAAATGGAGCAGACTGGTTCTGTAATTGTTGCCTCTGGGCAGGTTTTTTTTTTTTTCTTTTCTATTAGTCTCCTTCATGTTCCTAGTTTTCCTCACATCTAGGCATCCTCCAGTTTGAGAGATTATTGTCAGCAGATAGTTGTGGGTTTTTTGTTTGTTTTGTTTTTCCTGCTGTCACCTATATGCATATAGGCTTGATATATATGTTCATGATATCTCTGAATGCTGCTTGTTCAGGTGCCAAGGCTACTGCATGGTAGACAGTGCCGTAGAGCCAGAAAGAGCTTTGCCCTTGAGTAATAGCAACTGTATCAGCCTTGCCTATCTCAAGGAAGTCATGTTTGCTTGAGGAAACACCTCTCGTCTCTGATGTACAGAAAGCCTTGGCCTATTCTGTATGTGGATGAGAAAGGCCAAGGGCCACTTTCTTAGTCCTGCTGTCCACACCTGCAACCATTACCAAAGGAATGGAGTTTCTACCTGTGTTGCAGTATTGTGTCTGCATTCTGAGCCTTCACCCTTGCTTCCAATAGACTAGGCTGGCCTTGAACTTAAGAGATCTACCTGTCTCTGCCTCCCAAGTGCTGGGATTAAAGGCGTGTGCCACCACCACCACCACCACCAGGCCTGAGCCTTCATTTCTTAACCATACTTTAAACAGGCTTTCACTGCATGTGTGCTGAAATTGTAGTCTTGATTCTACCAGAAAACAGCACTGAATTTAAATGCACAGGTCTTCACACACCTAACATTATACCTAGTCTTGGATAGAATTTATAGTTCTCCAAGGCCATTTCTAGATAGTGGCTACTATTCCTGTTATGGAAGGTTTTCAGAATTTTCAGTATATGAGGTAGTTGCTGAAAAAGAAATCCTGATATAATATTTAGTGGACTGAAACACTTTGGTATTTCTTTTGCTTAAACAGATGATGCTGGAGGGTCTTGAAGATTTTAAAACTTGAAACTTGAAAACCAGCCTTCTGTAACCACAGTGCCATGCCCAAGTGATGAGGAATATAGAGGACTCCATATGGATCTCTCAATAGAGAACTGTTACATACCCCAAAAGAGCCATGTGGGTGTGTGGCCTCCGTGGTTGAATGACAGAACTCCACTATGTGCTTAGCTGCTCGGGAGGTGACATAGACACACTTCAGGTATACTCTGTAAGGACTAATGGACAGCTACCTCAGGGACCAAACTGCAAGGTGGGGGGGTGGGATGTACCTGGCATTGTTCCCTTTTCCTTTTTGACATGTTTTCTTATGTCAGTGTGTTATTTTTCCTAAAACATGGAGGAGAGTGAAGACTGTCCAAGCAACAGTAGTTGCCAAAGAGAAAATAAGACATTTATATTTTATACCTTTATGTAGAAACATCTTTTACTGTAGAAAGTTTTTTAAAGGTGTGTTGGTTTTACTGTTAAATAGTAAAGAATGAGTAGATAGTAGAGGTGCTGAACCCACTAGTGAAAATGGTTGTTAAAGGGATGACTAGATCAGTTAGGTTTCTTTGGAATTGTGATATTTCAGTAATTTCTGTTCCAAAGCAATGGTAGACTGTCTGGTAGGAAGTGTTATGTCTGAGTCTGAAGACTTCTTTCATAGTCTTCAGTGCTGTCTAGATCTACTCTGTGACTTAAAAGTTAGAAAGTAAAAGTGAAGCACAAGATCAAGCTTTAAACTTTTAGATCTTAAGTTCTAAGCTTTCCAAGTCTTATTTCTCTAGGATAAGGCCCATCTTTTCTGTTCTCCTCTCTTCCCATGGTTCATATTAAAATTTACATGGAATGGAATAGGCAACACTTTGAAAGGGCTTGCCATATTTTAACTGCATTCAAAGTTTACTTCTGAGAAGCACCTATATTAAGAGCACTGCACATGCCCAGAATTCCTCTAATGGCGACTATGGCAAAAGCTCATGTTATGCAGAGTGATCCTTTCTAAAGGCAGACATCTTAGAAACAGGTCTTGCATGGCTCATTTGAGGCTATTAATCTTTGATATGATGCCAAACTCTGATATCTTGCCAAGCCCTGCCTGTGACATTGCGTGGATAGCACTATAGCTCCCAAGAAGACAGGGGTATAATTAAGAACAGGAAACACAGGTTGAGACAGGGAATGAGGGAAAAGCCAGAGAAAGGCTGAAGACCCCCTCCCTTTTTAAGTGTGGAAAATAAATCTTTTATGCCACTGGTTATAAATAAAATTTTTAAAGTCAACCCTGTGTGTGCTCATTTTTTCTTTAATTATGTCAAGATATGGTAATATATAATGAGAATGCTTAGCCACTGAAATCTGAAATCAAGCAAATGATTACTTTTGAATGTGTCTAATCAAAACACACACACACACACACACACACACGAATGTTATGAGCAGTTTCCCACCAGCCTGGTCCCAGAGTCTCATCAGCCCCAAGTAACATAGACACTGTATTAAATTATAGCTGTTGGCCAATGGCTAGAGCTTCTTATTGGCTAGCTCTGTCTTAAATATTAACCCATTTCTATCAATCTAAGTGTTTCCACATGGTCTTATCTTACCGGAGGGTCCAGACCACTTAGTCCTCTTGGTCCTACATTTCAACTCTCTACTACATCTCCCAGAATCCTCCTTGTCTCCTAGTACCACCTATCTTGTCTTTCTATTTGCCAATAGTGCTTTATTCATTAACCAATAAGAGAAACATATTTACAGGATGACATCTCCCATCACATGAATTTTTAAAAATTGATTTTTGGGGGCTGAAGAGATGGCTTAGCAGTGAAGAGCACATATTGCTCTTGTAGAGGACCAAGTTTGGTTTCACCACCCACATCAAGTGGCTCACAACTACCCAGAGAATCGGGTGTCCTCTTGTGGATTCTTTGGGCACCTATACTCATATATGCACAGACCCCCCCCCCCAACAGATAAGAGATTATTATTTCCAGATAGGGTCTTACCTTGTAGGACAGACTAGCTTTCAATTCACAGCAGTCATCCTGCTCAGCCTGTTAAATGTGGTTACAGGTTCAGCAGTGAGCCTTTTTTCTTTTTTAAACACATTAATAAAGCGCAAATGCTATCAGGGATAGATAGATTAAATATTAAAGCTGATCCAGTACATTGTTTAGCAAAATTATACTTTGTTGGCTATAAAAGCAGGATATAAACTGCAAAACAAATCAGAACATATCAGAAGCTTTAGTGGTCATACTGAAGATCTGCAGTCTTTTTTTTTTTTTTTTTTTTTTTTTAAAGACTGGTTTCTCTGTGTAACAGGCCTGAAACTCATTTTGTAGACCAGGTTGGCTTCAGACTGAGATCTGCCTGCCTCTCTGCCTCCTAAGTGCTGAGACTAAAGGTGTGCACTGCCACTACCCTGCTTAGTCTTTGTTATGATGTGCTTTGAATGTTCTTTTATTTCAGTATGACTCATGTATTAGAAGGAAAGTCTCAGCACAGGGTGTTTGCTGTGAGAAACACAAAGTTATCTAACAGGCTCTGGCCCTCTTTGGTGATTACTACCCAGAGCTAGAGTTAAGTGCTTCATATGAACTACCCAAGAACCTCACCAAAGCTGGAAACTTGTTCTTCAAGAAGTCTGCTGATCCCTGTTGTTTAAGTAGATCTACAGATAGCACCCAGTTCCCTAAGCTGACAGAATCCCTGATGTCTGCAGGGTATTCACTCTGCAGCTCCCTAAAGTTTTGGGGTCTCCAGTTACCATGTGCACCACAAGCTTCCTCCACAGAAGACTGAGCTTCAGACAGCCCTCTTAATACCCACTTTTCCTCTAAGTTAACATCAGGGCTCTTTCAGGGTAAACTGACTATTAATTGTAGCATTTGTGTATTTCATAACCACCAAATGTATAGAAAAGCTATCTCTGCTTTTCTGAGGGATATATAGTTCAATAATCTCATTACATTTTATTTTGTGTGTGTTTAAGTGTTCATTTGTGGAGTGGAACTAAATCTTGTGACTCAGTCTTGAGTAGGTAAAGAACATGTTCTGTATACAAGAAACAAGTTCTATTCAAAAGTGACCCAGGAGGCAGTTCCTAGGTCAGCAGTTGGACCAAAGCAGACTTCTATGAAGATCTTTAGAGTCCTTCTGTTCCACTTTGAAATGGCAACAAATACTGTTCAAAACTGGCTACCTTCCTTCCTCCTTGCAACAGCATTTAACATGAAGCCACTGTTAGTAGGTAATACCTTATAGTTCTGTACGTCCTTAAGATAAACTAGATTTAGAAAAATTAAGATTGTACTACAGCAGATGATTCAGTTTCACCATCAAAAGTTCTGCTTTTAAAACTTGTGAGATTATTTTACCTGTTTTCAATACTGACACACACCCCTGAAATAAGCCAGGTTCACCAATTACTAACTGCACGATGACTGGTATCTTTAGAAACTATCAAGGCTGGAGAGGTACTCAGTGTAGAATACTTACACAAGAGTCTGAGTTCCATCTCTAGGATCACAAAAATAAAAATCCTAAACCAGCTGTTTCCCTTAAAGGTAAATGCAAGGCAGAAACCAAAGCAAAGATGCTGCAGAATTCGGAATTTTACAACCAATTTATTTCAAAACAGAAGTTTTTAAAAAAAGTAAAAGAAAACCATACACCTCATGTTGCCATAGGAAACATCTATTGAAATGGGGCTGAGCACTCCTTAACTGGAGTGGGCTATAACCTGTTTTACTAAACCTGTAAGAAATTTTCTTCCATGACACATGGGACTAAACAGACACTGACCTAACCTCCACAGAGTCATGGTATAGCTCCTATAGCTGGCAGATGTTCAAAGACATGCTCATGTCTAACGAGACTGTGGGGACTGTGGGGACTGTGATGCTCTGGGCTTCCGGCGTCTCCTGCTGCTTTCTTGATCTTCAGTGTCTGGATACTTGGAGAGGTCCAGAGTCAACACGTGACTGAACATGCATTCATCATGCTGAAAGGGAGGGAGGCCAGTTTTAGTCATCTGCCCTGCTTAGAGGAGAGGTATTTTTCAGAGTGAGGTCATTAGTTAATCTCGATTAGCATTTAAAGGGGATTAGTTATCTTGGGTTTTTTTTTGTTGTTGTTTTGTTTTGTTTTGAGAAAGGATTATGTATCCCTTGTTATCCTAGAACTCACTCTGTACACTATGCTGGCCTGAAATTTAGAGAAATTTGCTTGCTTCTGGCTCCTGGGTGCTGGGATTAAAGGCATACACTACCCCACCTAGCTCAGTAAATTAATTTTTATCTTAAAGTGGGACTGCCTAGAAACTGAAGGTCTTAAATTGTTGCTCTACTCTCTTGGCTCGGGTTTTTAATTATTTTAAAATTTTAGTGTGTGTGTGTGTGTGTGTATTGAGTTGGTTTTTTCCCTCTATCATGTGGGTATGGAGGATCACACTCAGGTCAACAGACTTGGTAGCAAGTGCCTCAACCTGCTGAGCCCTCTGCTGGGCCATGACCTACAGTTTTAATTTCCTTGTTGCACTTAAAAATATCTTAAACCTCTTTCTGTCAAGGAGAGTATCTGAGTAATTACTCATAAATCTTACTCTTTAAAAAATCATTTGGCTTATATTTAGCCATGGTAGAAACCAATAGTGTGCACAAACTCTTAAACTATATGGACGTGGAATCCCAAGGCTGGCAGGGTAAGGAGTTAATGGGGCCTGCCCTTGCCCCTGTGTCTCTTACCTCTGGGTAGATGCCTATCAGTGCATCAGCTCTGGAGTAGAACTCCTCTTTCAGGGAAATGACTATCATCTGAAACTGTTCCTGACTCTGCTCTTTGATGTAACTTGAAACCTGAGAGGAAATAAAAAGCACACATTTCACCACCTCCTTTCGGTTCTGGGAACCTTAAATATTGGGAAAATCAAGTCTTAGTTAAAGATGAATTCTAGCTCCTTGGGGAAGCTCCATTCTAAGAAAATGACTAAAATAACCAGGGTATGGTGGTGCACACCTGTAATTCCAGAGAAGCATAGGATCTGAGGGAGGTCCCAACATCCTCAAGGGCATGCCTGGAATCAGATAACATCCTTCCACTATGGCCCTACCCTTTCATAGCTTCCTTTAGAAAGCTCAGTTAAAGAAAATCCTTTTCCAGTGCCATAGTCTTTATGTAGGGGTCATTTTATATCCAGACCATGGCATCACATCTCAAGTTCAAGACTTCCATTCTTGCACCATGGCTACTGCCATGGTCTCTAAAACCAGAGCCCTTTCTGTGAATGTGGCTTGTTAGCCTCTCATTAATTCTCTATAGGTAGCACTTCAGAAGCACAGTTATCCTGAATTCAGAGCACTTAGGACCAGTGTACTCTGACCCAGGCCAATCTTAGGGACTTGGCAAGTACTATCTTACTAGACAAAAAGTCTGAGTCTTAGTTCTCCTGTACCCAAGTTTTGAGTGGTTTGTTTGTTTTGTCATTTTATTTTGTTTGGCAAGCAAGCCATCAAATGGCCTAGCCTTCCTCCATGGTTTCTTCAAGCTTATGTTTGAGTGTATGTCCTGACTTTCCTCAATGATGGATTGTGACCTATAGTATAATCCAAATACACTCTTTTTCTACTAAGTTGTTCTTGGCCATGGTTTTGTCACAGCAACAGAATAAAACTAGAACAAAAATGTTTTATTAGAAATTGAAAGCAGAAGCCTGTGGTGGGATAGGGAGAGGTATACACCTTTAATCCTAGCACTCCATGAGGCAGGGGCAGGGGCAGGCAGATCTCTGAGTTGGAGGCCAGCCTAGTCTACAAAGCAAGTTTCAGGACAGCCAAGGCTACACAGAGAAACACTATCTTGAAAAACCAAAGTGGGGGAAAAAGGAAATTGAAAGCAGAAGAATACTCACTTTGCCAATGTTAGTATTGTCCAGGGCTGCATCTACTTCATCTAATACAAAGAATGGAGCAGGCCGAAAACTAGAAAAAATTTACATGCACATGAATAACAACTTCTTATTTGTTTTGTGAAGACTTAGAGGCAAGGAGAAGTTCTGGGAGACTTCTGGTGCCACCATGCCCAGCTCCCACACATTTCCATGACAACTCTGAGCTCCCACATGTCTGCACACTGAATCCCACATGAGTATTAAGCCATAGTCTCTCCTTGTTTTCTCCTGTGGGCAGTTAGTAGCAGCAATTATTATAGTTATTTAGGCTAAATCCAAGGAGTCAATACTGACATCTTCATATTCCATGTCTGTTAGCAACCTCTCTCT